TCACATATAGCGAACACGAACCCATGCCTAAGACTCAACATCATACCAACATCCCCATTCTCTCACCCTACCTCCCAACCCTCAATCCCATCCCACACCTTCTACTCCACCTTCCTCCTCACTCCTCGACCCACCACCTCGTCTCCCATCCCCTTCACCTCCACCACCCCGACTATCCAAAATGGACAAATACTTTACTCCCGCTTACAACCCCGTCCTCGACGTTGGCGAGGTACCTAAAGAAGGTCTGATCACCGCCGTGGGATGGGATAACATGTTAGCGGTATTGAAGGAAAGAGGAAAGAAACGACGTCAACGTTCCCCTGGATTATTTGATGATCCTTTCGATATACCCAAAGTGCATCTCAGACGTTCTCCTGAACCGAAAGCTAACGAATTGAGTAAAGTCACCCGAAGATTGGAGAGAGATGAGAGGAGGGGTCGACGGGAGGTGAGCCCAGGTGGAGCGAAGAGGAAAGAGAAGGAAGGAGGAGTAGAAGTTATGGGATGGGAATATACAAAGAAAGGTAGTGTGAGAGAATGGGATGTTGGAAAGTGAAGAGTTTTGAACTTGAATTCTTGTTCTCTCCTCTCAAGCTTGTAATGTCATTGAAGATTTTGTGTTGTCAAAAATATATCATATCACAATGCAATGTTATTACAGTTTTTTTGTAAAACTCCCAAATCTAATGATGCTCCCCATGTGAAGTATGTGATTGTGGTTTGGAAGCGAAGTAATCGTCATAAATGACATAGGCGGTGAAAGCGACGATAGCAGTTCCTAATCCAGGGAACATGTTTCTGATTGAATTAGCTCGTCTTGAATCACTTTGACTCTTCATCTATACTCATGATAGATGTTCATGGTCTATATGCCAGCTGGACCGACTTGACTCTAACACAAGGTAGAGAAAGGCTGGAATGATAGGAAGAGGACATACCGGAACATGGCCTTGTTGGAAAAGATGGGAGATTTCCTCCAAGCTTCTCTCGCCGCCCAACGATCGCGATATAAAGGGCCCGGCATCTATCCTGTTAGATTTTCATCCTCGCCTCTGTTCAGACGTATGACACTCACCACTAACTACTGTGATTGTATGACCGTCTATTGTTATACGATTGGACCGCTTTACTCTCTTCAAGGTGAGAATCGGCATTTCGGAGTTATCTCACCTACTGAAACGGAAAAGTGCCGATGTGGCGAATGATGATCAACTCGTTAGCGTCAATCCTTTTTACCGTTTTCCTCTAACTCTCATCCTGCCATTACTTATTTATCCCTTTCACCTCATCACCTATATATTCACAACATCTTATAGTCCCTTCTCAGTACTCTCATCTTCTTTTTCTCTTAGTAATCATCTACAAGCTTTCACTGGTGTTGGATCCCCACAAGGTATCCTCATGAGTCCAGTCAGCCCTTCTTTTCCCTTCTACCTCTGACCCCTTTCCTCCCTTGTAACTTTCATTCGATAAAGGGACAAACAACTCGGTCTTCTGGTAAATGGAAAAAATAACATCGTCCATGTCATTCCCATCGGGATTATCAGATCTCTTTCATCGTTCAAAACACGTTTGGTCTTCTTTACGACATGTGGGATTTGGTCATGAACATTTGAGAGGTTTTAGTCATGGATCTGGTTTGGGGATTGGACATGGGATTGGGGGAGGTATTTGGGAAGAAGGTATATGGTGGGATTGGTTGAGAAATACTAGGAGTATGATGTTTTGGTTAGCGTTGGTTTTACTTTTTGTCATCATAGGTGGGTTCGATCGATATCAACTGATACTCTAATCTTCACACTCTACTCATTTCCTTCATATTTTCTTCTCTTTGTTGGTGTATCGTTCTGGTCACTTACTTAATTGGATCTGGATGCCTTAGGATGATGATGAATCTGCGTAGCAGAGCTTCGCACGATGTGTATGTGGCGTACAGACGAAACGACACGAAGCGGAACGAAGGAGGCGTGGTATTCCTTCGGTCAAGTCACGGAGTCTCATCTGAACTGCGTAAAGGAGGGATAGAGTGACAGGAAAACTTGTGATTAGAGAAAAAGAGATAAACTAACATCTCAGCTACCATCCTCAACCCAGACGAAAACTCTTTCAAATCTCATCTCACTGAACTCTCTTTTCGTCGTCATCTCGCTCTCATCCATTCTCGTCCCGACCACGTACAAGGAGAAGAAGATGATAAAGATTCTCCCGCACCTTTCAGGTTCTCAAACCATGTGGCTATCTCACTCCGGACACCACAACTCTTGTACCGCGCCATGTTCTTGTATTCCGTCGTGATCACGTCACCTCTCGCCCCTCCTACTTTCCTCGACGCTCCCAAGGCAAAGTCAAATGCTGAGAGTAAGGATGGGACGGTGGTTTGGATCGGTATTTTGGGTCATTGGTATTATCTTGGAGAATGTGCGGGAGTTTGGGGTTGGTATTGGCGACGAATGGCCGAAAGGGGTGGAGGGAAGAAGGGTAAGAGGAAAGTTAATGGAGTGAGAGCGGGGGTGTTGGATATGAAGGTCGTAATGGCCAAAGAGGATGTATCTGGTGAGTGTGGTTTCGTTCTCCAAACATTTCATGAACCTTTCCTCTTATCTCTCTCAAATTTGTGTATTTCGTGGGTTCCGAGGCTGGTAATGAAGGAATTCATCAAGGTGCAGTTCAGTGGATTAGTTCTGACAAACGCAGGTAGATCAGCTCCTAGTACACCAGCCACGAAGCTACTGCGTAAATCCGACTCAATTGCCAGTCTCACCGACCTCTCCTTGACCTTACCACTACACACCCCTCCTCAAATCCGTTCTCGTCGTCCGTCCATCGGACATTCGTCCTCCGCCACTCCCCACTCCCCACCTGTGACCGAAGCCGATTCTCCCCTCATAACTTCTCTCAAAACCGATCTCACTTCCATCCAGTCAGTATTGGTCGATCTCAGAGCTCAACTAGCCGCACGCGATATGAATCCGGGTGATATATCATTACAAAATACACTCGACGAGTTACGTCATAAACGTAAAGAAGATGATGCCGAGCGACAAGAAATCAAATCTCGGACTAAAACTCTCGAAGAACAAAAACGTCAGGCTGAAGGTGCTCGTAAAGAAGCCGAAAAGAAACATCGATCGGTAGAACATGCTCGTACTGTCCTGGAAAATAAGATCACTAGCGTAATATCTGACACTCAAGGATATCGAGATCGAATGACGCGTAGTGCTCATACCGTAAAACGGATCGAAAACGATGGGAAAAGACATACGGAAGTCATTCATCAAAACATTCACGAGAAGAAACAAGAAGTGACCGTTTTGGAAGACGAATTGAATAAGTTGGAAGATAAAAACGAAGGGTTGTCAAAGAATATGAAAGATGCAGTCGAAAGATTGAAAATGGTTCAAGAAGCGGAACACAATAGAAATCTTAATCCGGAGGAAGAAATGATGATGATGGCTGCGGCTTACGAAGCTGCAGCTCAAGAAGGTTATCACCATGGAATTCCTACGACTCAAACACAAGCACAAGCTCAGGGGATTTGGACAAATCAAGCTGCTCAATATATGGCCGAAGCGGGCTTTCCTCATTTGGACGCTAATTACACATCTCGACCGATCCAAATTAAACCTGTCACGGATAAACAATTTCCCGCGTCTTCAATTACTCCTCCATCTTCTATAAATCTTACGTCTACCAATCCTATTCCATCTTTCATCCCAAGCAATCACAGTTCTTCCATTCCAACCTTTATTCCTTCAAACTCCGTAGATCAACCTCTTGTCCACTCGACATCTTCTGTCAATCCTGTCGACCCCTCTCATACTGTCACTTCGAAGGGGAAGAATAACTTGATTCTTGCTAACGATCGTTCTTCCACTCCAGTCGATCGAGAAATAGAAGAAGATCCAGGATCTCCAAGTTCCTTATCCACTTTTTCTACCAATCTCCTACCTCAAGGTCTGTTCCGATCTTTGGAAGGTGAAACATCCACATCGGACCTCTCTCGATCTTCTTCCCCGACCACGATGAAACACGAATCCATGTCATATCCATCAGTCTTGAAAACGTATGGTAAACCACCTATACCTAATGGTATACTAGCGGGATATTATTTACCTGGTGAAAAACCTTTTGGAGATTTTCAACATCCTTTAGAATACATTCCACAATCACCTGAAGAACCATTAAACTTCGATCGTCCTCTTCAGATATTTAATCCACCCGAACATCCCAACGGTCCACCAGTGAGGTCGTCCATGGAATATTATCAAACTCATGGACATTTGTTAGGTAGTGGTAATGGTAATATAAGAAATGGAGATTCAGGTTCAGATTCAGGAGAAGATTGGTTTACACCTGAATTACGTCGTCAAACAACACCACCTCCACCACCACCTATCACTTCTTCTGATTCTAATCCTAATTCTATACCTGAAAGTCCATATTATGGTTTTCCATCTCCTGCTACATATCTTCGTATAAAAGCACGTGAACCGAAAGAAAAACCATCACAACGTTCAATTTATCCATTACCACCTTCAGGAAGTTATTACGATTTGATACGTCCTAAATCCACCGATATTTCAAATGTTAGACCCCGTTGGTTTGAAAATACAAATTCAAACTCAAATCCTACAACTTCCAATCCTGCAACTTCCAATACAAATACCAACATCAATGGAAACTCTACAGATAATCTATCGTTCAGACCATTCCATTCAACAAACTCTAATGATTCTTTGAATTTACCATACGAATCTTCACCTTTCGCTCCTAGTGCAAGTGAAAAACAAGCTTTATCAAGATGGGGAGGATCGATCAAATATCCTTGGACGGGGAATTCGAATCAACCATCGAATGAGAAATACGTTTATTCTCTTTCCAGTACTGGGTTGATGTCTTCACCAGATGTTATTAGATCTTCTTCAAGATCTACCGTCGTTTCTACTGGTCAAAAGAATATTTGGACAAGACTTAGAGGTGATGGGGATGTCATGAATGGTTTATTCGGACATGGTATTGGGAATAAAAATGTGATTGGGAATGGATCTGGATCTGGTAGTGGGAATGGGAATGGAAATGGAATTGAACATGGAAATGGAAATGGACTTGGAAATACAACTGGGCATGAAGTTGGACAAGGAAGTGGGACTGGGGGTGGAAGTGCGGTTTTGGGTGGAGAAAGGTTAGAAAAAGGAGAAGAAAAGAAACCATTCAGTTTTTTCTCTCTTAGGAAACCTTCTCAATCGGTTCAACCGGGGAATGAAGATTGAGTTTGATATGGTTTGAGTAAGGTATGAGATGAGAGTTTTTGGAAAAATGCAAAAAGTTGTTGCTTGGTGTTATGTGTTGCATGTTGCTTGAAAGGATCTCATCGATTCTTTTTGAAGAATACATGATCTAGAAATCCCAAGAGCCTAAGTGATACTACAAAGTCTAAGTTATTACGAGTACTCGTACTCTACTCTACTGAACTTTTTGCCAACGCAATGATTGCGAATGACAGAAGCAGGGGAGGGGGGGGGATGGGCCACAATCTCTGGCAATGACAGAGTAGGGTATATAACAACTGTTAATACTCGAGATGAAGCTATGTTCGTGATTGCTCCCATTCTTTCGCCCTTCATTCTGAAACCTGATGATGCTAGTGTACGATCAAGATCTTGGTCGTTCCCATTCTTTCGCGGCATTCTCTAAACCCTGCCAATACTTGAGTTGAACAGCCAAGATCTTAGCTGCCCCAAGATCGGGAGGATCAGACGAAAGAGTTTCTTCGATGGAATGTATAGTTGTTGTTACTTTTACTGTAGGTTAGTATGGACCATTTATTAGATTATCATAAAGGTAGAAAACCAATATGATCCATCTTACTTTCCTCTTCTGTTTTCTTGACCTAAACTTCCGTTGTCTGAACCTAAACTTCCGTTGTCTAAAACAATCCCTCGTCCATGACAAAGCGAGTTCTGATCCGAGCATGTCATTTCGAGTGTGATAGGTATTCCAGGTGAAATGATCCAAGTCGTGGGATGAACAAGTGTGTGAGTGAAAGTAGAAAGTAGAAAGTAGAAAGTGGTATATGATATTTTGAGAGATAGGGAAAAAAAGGATTCAAGATAAAAAGAAACTCACGATGATTCTCTTCCCTTATCTTCTCAACTTGTTCTAAAGTAGTAGCTTCATGTAATGATTCCCTAGCTTCCATAATTTCCGATAAAAGACCAGGATCGGTAAGTTGGTCAGTCTCTGCCGTTGCTAATTCTGGGTGATGTACCGAGAGCTGCAAGGTCAGGAGTTTCATCAAAAAAACATGGTGGTGCGAGGCCTTTAACCCCCTCCCCCCCCCCCCCCCCCCAAGCGGGCGCCTGGGGAGGGACGCTGTTAGTGTTGTGCTGATGTTTAAAAATCACTATAGCTTAAATGGAAAGAAAAGAATACCTTGAGGTACGAAGGCGACTGGTTAACATTCCCTCTGCTTGCAATAAGATAGCCCCAACGTGATTCACCCTTTCCCGCACCGACGATATAGCCGGAGATTCCTATATTTTAGATAAACGCCCGAGGTCTCAAGAGAAACCTGGGAAATCCCTGTGCATCATTGAAAAAAAATTCCGTCGTGCTCGACCCCCTCCCTCTTTCAAC